TTGAACTTCAGGATTCAGGGTTGCTTGGCCACGACAGTTACAACAAACTGCGTAGGATAGGCTGTTTGTTTTTGCCTCCGATGAGGAACAAACACTCACAAACATACACACATATATACACACAAACGTCTCCTGCATGAGAGCTAAAAGCATTATAATTACACCTCCAGCTGCTCCATACTTGTGAGGGGTGTGGGGGAGCCTAGCTCATTTGCTTTTAAATTAGTCGCCTCCTACGACATGCTTGTCAGCAGGGCAGTGGATCAAATCTTTGTTATTAAAAACGAGCCATGTAGCCCACACAGGAAGCTCTGAGAAGTAAAGGTGGGCGGTGTGATGTAGGCTACATCACAGACAAATTTTTAGAGTTTATACAATGATATGTTTAGCAAAGTATGCCTATTGCCACACTGGCGTTATGCAGATACTTTAGACGTTTACAGGCAATTTATCCATTTTGTTTACATGTATCAAGTCGTTTACAGACCGTTGCCTACATCACAGTTTGCCTGTAAAAACTCAGTCCTTTTCTCTGCAGCATCATGCACATTCTTGTTTCATGCATATGCTACGTTTTGCTCCCATGATCTAACTGGTCGCCCTGGCATTTCTTTTTCCCTGATTATGGCATCCATTATTTTTCTTTCAAGTGGCGAGGCATGATCACATAGCTTTGTAAGTACTGACAGGCAACGAGTAAGCTGTAGAAGGTATCACATGACATTTTCCTCCTCACTGATTCGCTGTTGATACAATGTGTTCGCAGCTAGCAACGAGGTACTGGTGAGTTGTAGCATTCACACGGTTACAGTTGTTGTGACCGGGCTAAGCATGCTGCGAGCGTTTTTTTTTTTTTTTTTTTTTGCAATATTAAAACCCTTAGCAAGCGTTACGTGGTCACCGAGATATAAACCACGTAACCTGTTGCAATAAATAGTAAACAATAAAAAGACAGTAAAAAAAAAAACATTTCATTTTTGTCCTTTTGTAATGGAATGTGTAAGCAGCAGTTACCGCCGTACACGCCTTTCCATTGTTAGACAATGTTGATAGCTAATGTACTTCAGCTTCCTAGACAAGATGCTGATATCTTACCCCCTTCTATCGACACTCACATTTATTAGACTATCAATTACCCCCCTCCCCCCTCTCCCCACCAGACACCCCTTCCCCCATCCCGTTACGAAGAACAAAGAAAAGAAAAAGACCTATTACGTCTAACATTCCTGTCGTACGTCTCGTATGATGCCACTAATGGTAAAAGGGGGGGGGGGGGAAGGGGGAAAGGGGAGGGTGTTTCCTTTAGATTCTGGGTGCATGTTCCTGAAGAAAAAAAAAGGAACCAACAGTCTGCGTACAAATATACCAGGTACGTGACCTCATAAAATTCTCTCCATAGCATTTTTGCTCAAAAGTCCAGATTTTTAACGCGCTCACACCCGTATCAAGAATTTGTTTATTGAAAACAACTGACTACATGAAGCCAGGATGGAGTAGTGGCTGGAAGTTTCCCGCCGGTCAGAGGGACTGAGATTCGAATCCGCATGAAGCTGGATTGTGTTCCTCTCTGTAATCGGCCAGGGCGCTTGGTCGATCAAGACTCAAATGAGTAGCAGGTAATATCCTTGGAAGTCAAGGCGTGACTGACTACATGACTCACTCAGTGCCGAATGGTCAATGCTGATATTAACGTAGAATAATATACATGGACAAAATCGCTGATAGCCGACTGACATCTGACACTCCGGAAAGTTATTATTCTCCAGTTAGGTTTTTCTGATACAAATTTTTCTCCATCGCCCAGTTTAGTGCATGGCACCACACTGTGAGCTATGGATTTCAAGTGTTGAACTGTTATTTATTTTGTGCTCGCGGCGTGTTGTTGACAGCACTCTAGGGCCAGCTTTCGTAATTGACCATTTGCAGAAGGGGCTAGCTTGAATCTCGGGTGTAGGATTGTTAGCAATAACAAATTTGACAGCTACCTCATGCATTTTTACTTCGCATGTGCAAGCGTTAGGATTTTACTGGGACCGACGAGTCTTTTGCAATTTTTTGTAACCAGTTTTAAAGGAGACAGCTACGAGTAGTTTGTGCAATTTCTACTTGCATAGAACGGAGCAACGATGGGGCGACCTGCCAGAAGTGATGCTAAAAACTCGACTAACGACTAAGAATGACTAACGACCGACCAACATGACTAAGTATGGAAAAAAACGACTAATTACCGAGTAAAAAGACTAACGACTAAAACGACTAACTAAAGACTAAAAAGACTATCTAATGACTAAAAAGACGAACTAACGACTACAAAGACTAACGACTAAAAAGACTAACAACTGACTAAAACAATTGACTAAAGACTGAAAAGATTAACTAACGACTAAAAAGACTATCTAACGACTAAAACGATTAACTAACGACTAAGAAGACTAACTAACGACTAAAAATACTGTGTAACGACTAAAACGACTAACTAACGACCATAAAGACTAACTAACGACTTAAAAGACTACCTGACGACTAAAAAGACTAACTTACGACTATAAAGACCATATGACAACTAAAACGACTAACTAATGACTGAAACGACAAACTAACAACTAAAAAGACAAACTAATGATTAAAAGGACTAAAGACTAAAAAGACTAACCAACGACTGAAAAGACTAACTAACGACTAAAATGTCAACGACTAAAAAGAATAACTAACGACCAAAAGGACTATCTAACGATTAAAACGACTATCAACTAAAAAGTCTAACTAACTACTTTAAAAAAAAATCTAACTAATGACTAAAAACGACTTACTAACGACTAAAAATGCTAACTAAATATCGACTGCATTTTCCCAATGTGTCCCTAGCATAAGAAAAGGTCTCATAGTTTATTGTACTTTATGCACTATAAAATGTGTATCGCTTGTCATCACCGTTATATTAACACCAGCGAATGTCTCTAATGTTTCTTAGACTGTGAAAGTTATCGGAACTTTGATCGTGACCCCATTCGATATAGATTTCAATATTGGACCTGTCAACATCACCAAGGCGACAACAACAGTCTCTCCAGCTGCGACGACAAGCTTGCGTGAGTGACGGTAGAAACACAAGCTCTCTTTCTCTATATCTCTCATTCACTTTATTTCTGTCTTTCATTTACTCCCCATGTCTCTGTCTGTCTCTGACTGTCTAAGTATGTGTCGCTGTCCGTCTGTGTGTCTGTGTGTCTGTCTGTGTCTGTCTGTCTCTGGCTCTCTCACTCTCTCTCTCATCAAATACAATTGCTGTGTGAAGGTTAAGTATTTTAAAGGGTCAAATGTAAAGGGGTTTTCCTTTCTTCACATATTCTGTCGAAATCCCTCCGCCCCCTTCCTTTCTCCACTCTTACACTTTATCGCTAAACCGTCTCGTTTCACTCGTTACCTTACTGTATATCTTTCCTGGCTCCTCTCTCTCTCTCTCTCTCTCTCTCTCTCTCTCTCTTTCTCTCTCTCTCTTACGCCTTGCACTTTTTTATCTTTCTGTCTCGAATTGTATTCCCCAAACCCCCTCCTCCCCCCGCCCCCTGCCTCCCACACACACACATATACACAAAGACACATACAGCTTATTGAAATGAATATATCGAGTCTACAGTGTCAGATATAATATTGTCTCTTCTTGCCAATACCATTGATTCTTTGCTTGGTTACTGAATTCTAAAAATGCTGGTACATTTGTATCAGTCTAATTCAGTCGCTAAATAATTTCTTCAATTGTTCAATGTATGCACCCGTTGGAACCTTGTTATCGCAGTTGTCAGAACGAAATCTGGCCTTTCAGTTCGCCGGTCTTGTACTCAATTCTTCATTTAGGCTAGGACTTAAAATCTAACCAAGCACTCAGACCGACTCAAACTAAAATAGTGAGTGAAGTAAAAGTAAAGAACCCCTTTCCATGCCTTTAAGGCGTATTGGGTACATCGGTCTATGCCTATATTTTAAAGACTAAACGGCCCTTGGTGGGTGATGTGGTCAGCATCAAGCTGGCCGCCTTTACTTCCTATGGCTGTACCTGGTACCCACTCAAGGCTGGGTCGACATGGGGAGCAAAGTTATTTTTAACAAAACCCCACCCCCGTCAGAAACCGAACCCACGGCCTTTTCAATCCGCAAGAGAGCGTCTAGATGGCATCATCCAACCTAAAATAGTACAGTAACATATTTCTGGGAAATAAAGGAGGTCGGGGTATTGTTTACAACACTGTTTGCAGTGTGCGAATTGGTGTATAAACCATCAGGATAGCATCCAATACATGCGTAGCATGATTACGTGAAACTGACCTTTCGTGTAGGTTATCATAATCATCATCAAGCGCCAGCAGGCGTTCTTGCATTTCCACATGCTTTGACTGACTGACTGACTTTTTACTCCACCAAGACATCACACAAGCGATAAACACCCAATGACACAAAGTGCCACCATGTGGATGAGGATCACAGTGGAGAGGTCCCAGAAACCGTGTTCAGACATTTGGCCATATTTATGGCCTGCCTATATTGCGGCCCCTGGCAAAAGCCAGGACGGGGCTTCAAATAACCAAAAAATTCGTCCTAATAAGGACGAAACTGGATCAATAATTGCAAATAAACAGAAGATCTAATAGTCTTTTCATTTCGTTAGTACGTAACCATGACAAATATCAACACAGCCGCTATTTTATGTGTGAAAGCAAGAGGCAGCCCTAGGAGATACTGACTGATGACGTTAAAGGCAGTATACATCGACATGGAATGACAATAGCCATTACCATCCATCAAGCAGTAGATTGTAAATTATTCCTTTCCACCGCGTTCAACGGCAAACGTGGAGATTGGTGATAATAATGATGATAAAGATGATAATGACCATTAACGATAAACGTTGAAGGAGATGATGATTCCATTATATTTTTATCCACATTACACAATGCACAGACGGTAATAACATCTCCTTCATCATTACCATTTGTCGGTTTCAGCCAATCTGGTATTTAGATATATCATACTACCTACCTACAATCTGACCTTCACCGATGATCTGAGGGACCGCAACTCAGAGAAATTTGTAGCAATCACCACAGACTTCTGCCTTGGGGTAAGAATTCATTGCACAGATTATTCACTGCTCTAAATCATGTGTTTAACATAAACGCTGATTGTTCTGTTTTAGAATGTATCCATACATATACAAACGCAACACACGCATATACATACTTAAATGCATACACATCCATCCATCCATCCATCCATCCATCCATCCATCCATCCATCCATCCATCCATCCATCCATCCATCCATCCATCCATCCATCCATCCATCCATCCATCCATCCATCCATCCATCCATCCATCCATCCATCCATCCATCCATCCATCCATCCATCCATCCATCCATCCATCCATCCATCCATACATACATACATACATACATACATACATACATACATACATACATACATACATACATACATACATACATACATACATACATACATGCAGCGGACCGCCAAAGGTGGAGAGAGATGATCAGACAGTCAACCAAACCTGGTGACCCTACAACACGTAGCATTACGAGATGATGATGATGATGATGATTCATACATATGCATATAGTTTATTAGTATATTATTTACTCTGCGTGTAGGTTTCATTGCTCCGTCTCGGAGAACACAAAATAGACTCACTGCTCCTAACAAACATGCCGTAGGAGGCTACTGTTAGATGTGTTTCCTTCAAAATCGTAGTACATCTGCCTCATAGCCGAAGAACCAACAGTCTGCATACAGTTAGGCTAGATCAGCAAAACGGATGTACATACACATGAAAGAAACATGTTTTTGATTAGAATCAAAATGCAGTAGTGGACGAGCTACCAGCATTTTCGGTCAAAGTTTACAGCAAGTGAACGCTAAAAAGGAAGAAAGAAATCATTTACAAGATTTTGCAACATCAGGGTGTTGATGATGATAATAGGCGAACAAACACAATAAATTCGTTGTTACTATGGCAGCGCACAGCGCCATTAGTTAAACGGCTTGTTCTCACGATAATATTAATAAATAAAACAAGCCCGAAACGGCAAATAATGGTGTGGTTATTCGATCAATATTCCTTTTCCTGTTATGGTCAACTGGATCATAAATGAAAGAATAAATCTCTGTATAAATGATTTATCACATCGGTTCTCAAATATTGCTATGGGTGGCTCGTTCCCGATGAAAAGTTGGCCTCTGCTGTAATGTTTTTTTCTATTTATGAGATGTACTGTGTGGGTGACAGCGGTTTGGAGATTTGTTAGCCATTGGCACACGGGTAGTAACCCGTAAGTGCTTCGTCGTTCTTCTAACTCAAGCCATAGTTTGAAGAAGCTTAGCACAATGTACAGACTCTTTAGCACCAACGACGATCCTAAAATACATTGGGTAGATTTGTAACTCCAAATTTTGCCCAGGCAGCGCCGTTAGGCTATTCTTTTCGATTTTCAACTACCAATGAATTTTTTTTACGTGAGCAACAATGCACACGGGCGTCTGATCTCACTACCCCGAGACCAGGGGGAATTACTAGAAGTCCAAGTCCACGTGGAAAAATCCCAGTCCCAGTAAACCTGGAACCTCCAGCACTCGAGGCGGACACCATGCCTCGAGACCTCGCAGCTCCCCATGTCGAGTAAAAGGAAAACAGTGAACGTAGATGATCGTTGTTGACCTCAGTGGCAAAGGGAGTATAGGATTCTAGATTCATATTTCAGTGGAGAGATCACAGAGTTTGGCTCGTTGGCATTCCAAAGGAAACCAACCAAGCTGTATAGGACATCTGAAGACCTGCGTCGACGTAGGGACTTCACAGAGTTCTGATCTGACCGGTTCTACACCGCTTGGTGGTGAACTGATGTACGACAAGCTGGATGTTGTGAGCGCTCTTTAGGAGCGATTGAACAGTGCGGAGGCACAGATAGGTCACCACAGTCTGAGGAGAATGGCACTGCGAGGAGTTAAAAGGGGATCTGGCTGGCGTTCAACACTCAGGGGAAAGGCGAGACGAAGTTACTGGTGCCAACGGAATTGAAACTCTTCGCTTGCTTCTGAAAATGGGGACGGAACGCTTGTGGGGGTTTTCCAAGTGCTGTGATGTGATTCCTAATTCAACATTCACATTTTACATTTGTTGTGGGGCGTTTTCATCTGAAAACCACTTGCACGGAGAACGGAAAGAAGGAAGAGATGAATTACATTATTAGAGACTAATCGGCACTCTGTGGGTAATACGGTGAACAACCTCTCGCCGGTCGCCTTTATTTCTCAGTGCATAGCCTAGTACTAGTTATAGGCCGGGTGGACCTTAAAGGTAATGTCATTTATGAAGAATAAGATTCTACCCCAATGCGGATTTGAACCCGAAACATTCAGGCTGACAGGCAAGTGTGGTTCTTGTGGTTAGCTCTTGTGGTTGTCTTGTGTGGTTAGCATGAAGTTGGAGTGCATGTGCCTGATGGGCGAGGAACTAAGTGTCTGCATACAAATAAGCCAGACCTCAAAACGGATGTGCGCGCTAAACTTTTTTTTAAACTTGCTTACCATGTTATGTGATGGAAAGTAAAGGCGGCTGGTGTAGTGTTGATTATATCACCCACCCAGTTTAGGTTTAGGTTTAGGTTTAGGTTTAGGTTCATTTACGCAATGCGTCACTACTGCCCAAGGGCTTCTTTACCTACTTACATACTGAGTCCGGCTCCATCAAATATTAATTTACAATGTAGTCGTGATAGAATCACTAGCAAGTACTTCTATCTTCGAGATCAACCGATGTCAATGGGGAATGAAGAAGGAAGTATCATAAACATCAATTATAACACCTAAATAACCAGTTCCCTTCACGATTACAAATGGTAATAATATTGATTAAAAAATGTCTGTAATTCCGTGGCGGCCTCAAAATCGTAATTACTGGTTTAAGAATTTTCGAGGAGCGGTTGGCAGAGCTTTTACAACGGGTTGGACCCCTGCTAAGGTGATATAGTTTTTCTGTCTGGGGTAAAACGAAGAAAAAAAAAACTGTCTACAATCCGTGGCGACAGCACTAACCATGCGGTCCCAACTCCTCAAGCCCACGATTCCCTCCCTCCCCCTCAAAGTGTATAGTGGGAGATTAATTTAGCAACACAAATATATGGCACCCATTTAAATACAGAATTGGTTTTCGTAGCGGCTTCCGTGGCTTAGGCGCTCCGACTAATAATTCTAACGTACCGAGATCGAAACCCACTGCTGGCTGCATGGGTTTTTATCATTTTATGGGGCGTAGCAGGTCGACCCAGCCTAAAATGGGTACCAGGATGTATGTCCTAGGGAAGAAAAGACGGCAGGCGTAAGGCTAACCAAATTACCTACCTAGTGCCGATTGGTCTGTAGAAATATGGGTGCTCTTCCCACATGCCCAATGCGTCTAGAGGCGTGGGAAGGGGATATAAGCCTTAGAAATTGGTTTTCATAAGATGAAGGTCAGTTTACTGAGCGGGGAGAAGATACATAAGAAAGATGTAGAAGTAAAAAGTAAAGGACCATATTTCATTGGTATACTCTTCACTAGATATATATTAGTTGACACTAAATTGGTGTGGTTGAGATTCCTTACGACCTTCTTAGGACGTAATTTTCTGTTATTTGAAGCCCCGCTCTGGCTTTTGCCAGGGGCCGCAATATAGGCAGCCCTAAATATGGCCAATGGTCTGAACGCGGTTTCTGGGACCTCTCCAAGGTGATCCTCATCCGCATGGTGGCACTTTGTGTCATCGGGTGTTTATCGCTTGTGTGATGTCCTGGTGGGGTAGAAAGTCAGTCAGTCAGTGGGTGTGGCGGTTAATATGACATTGATCGCCCTTGCCTCTAAATTTATTTCAGGAAGTTCATTCAAGTTTTTTTTTTTAACATACTAGGTGTCTATGCGTATTATAATAAATTAGGGGTCTCCGTCGTAAAGTGGTCAAGTCGTTTCTCTCGCACTCTGAAGGTCGTGGGGTCGTTTTACTGTGGCGCCTCTCAGTTCACACGTGCAATTTTTACTGAAATTCCCTGGGATCGCCGCCAGAGCTACGCAGATCGTGCTTTGTGCGACGCTCCCAGAAGGCAGCTAGCTGTTCTACTGAAAGAGACTGAACTATATATGGGATAAAACCCGATGAAATGTAGTCGATCCTCAATTTATATATATACATAAGGGGCCGCGTTTGCGCAGTCGATAGTCGCTTTCAAATCCAGCTGCGACTCGCTGCAGCCCACTGCCGGTGTTCGAAACCGGGCAGTTCCCGGGGTTCACCCAGCCTTTAGGAAATGGGTACTAGAGTTAACACTCTGGGGTAAATGAAGGAACGTCGCTGTAGCTACGGAGTTGCGTGCGAACGGCGACACAGGAGGACAATTTCTCATCAGCTGTCCATACTGGTGGCAGAGCACTTATGGTTCATAACCGTGTGCAATGAAGCTGGTTCACATCTCCCGGATTTACCTTTCATATATATATAAATGTATTCCTGTATACAATATAAACAATTCCCTGTCTCTTTAAGAATTTAAAAATTCCGCCACAAAACAGAGAGGCAGCCGTACTAGTTTGCTATTACTCAGATTATTCAGTTTTCGAAATGGTTTGAAATATCATTCGTAGATCCTGCCAGAATCAGCCTGTTAAGGCTGAGAGCTGGAAAGTTTTCAAGCCATCCATATACCTAGTCTCTCCCTACATAACTGCTCCTCCATTTCACCGTTTACCATAGAACCTAGGTCTTTCTGATGTAATCATCGTCAAGTGAATAATCAGCTGGCGTAGACTTTGCATCTCCACAGATCTTGATGTTGGATGTTCCGGATCAGTTCCACTGATGACTTTTCTTCTTGTCACAGTCTTAAGGGGTCACTACACGGCAATTTTCAAATTTATGACAAAAATATCACTTTTTCAATGTGTTCGTTTTTGTAAAGTTCTGCATTCGTAGAATAGATTACACACAAAATCTATGTCATTTGTAAACCATTTAGCTTTGAAAAGTTAATGCTAATGTCACCAACCCATGCACTTTTTTAAGATAAAAAAAAGTTTTAAAGTCAGTTTTCTCACATTTGTATATTTCTGTTTGTTGTGTGTGTAAAATCCTAAAATCTTAGCTAATAGACTAGAAACATGAAATTTGGTATGGATTCTCCTTAAACAATATTATAGGGACTGGTTTTTTCAAAAGTAGATTTTAGAAAGTTTTTGTTTTTTAAAAATGTAATTATTGTCTTATGATTCAAGATTTTTTTTGTGTGACTTTTTCAATAAAAATACATTTTAAAATTCTACGAAAAATATTTAAAAACATGTTTAAAGTAAACAAACAACACCTGCACCTCTAAATTTAAAAAAAGGTCATGAATCTATCATCTATTTTGTAATACGTATGTTTGTCTTTGAAATTTTAGGATTCTAAGTACATGTTTTTTTTCTCTCCACAAGATGGCGGCTATTGCCAAGACAACCATGCTTGTTTCACACTTGAAGTATACAAATGTAATAACATGTATCCCTTCTAATGACGATTATAAAATAATTGCTCTAACTCTGCAAATTAAAAAAAAAAAATCGCGTAGTGACCCCTTAAGAGATCCTTCGTCATTTCTCTTGGTCTGCCTCTGCCTCTTCTACCAGTGATTTTCCGAGTCGTCATTATATTCTCCAGTGCTCCATTTCTCATCACATGAGCAAAGGAATCATTTCCAGACAATCATTGTTGTTCTTTCAGTCCAAAGAATTCGCAATATTCTACTCAAGAAGCACGTCTCAGTTGCCTCCAAACCCTTCTTAATTTATCTGCTCACATTCCAAGATCTATTACCACACAACAGAACAAGGTCGATATAAAATATCAGTACTCGCTTTGGTTCTTTCGTAATATCCTACTCCTAGATGATGTCATAGGATGGTCCACCATTTTAGAGGCTGGTAAGATTGGGTTTTTGATGCTTTGAACGACCCCAAAACATCTAGAACCTAACTCCCACGATAGAGCACAGCCTAGGTGCCACGACTGCATCTATTCTGTCTGCCACCCTCTGTCCCGTGACCTGTGGATTTATCCTGTCTGGGGTAGGATATTAGGAAACCACCCTCGCTTTTTTTTAATGTTCAATGAGAGTGATTCAATACACAAGATTTAAAGCCTAGGGTATTTTATTTTAAAGAGCTCTGATATTTGCCTGGGTAGTAAAGGCGGTCGGCATGATGTCGCCTACATCACTGATCAGTCTGATCTATGAAAATAAAAGTCTATCATGGCATACAGAATACGTCATCGGTGTCAAAAGGGTCCTTACTTCTACCCTGGAGCCTCTGTGGTGTAGCGGCTGCATGCTCGCCTGCGGATCCGAGCGGCGTGGTTTCAAGTGTTGAAGGAGCCTTACATTTTTTTTCTTATGATTTTGGCTCTGGTCCACCCAGCTTTAAATAGGCACCAGGTAATGTCCAGGGAAGTAAAGGCGGTCAGCGTAGTATTGACCACATCACCCACCAAATGCCGATTGATATATACAAAAATGAATCTAGAATCACACATCCAATGCGTCACTGGAGTAAAACAGTTTCTTTACTTTGACCTGATACACATTCGCCTATGGACTTCATCATATCTAAATGCTCCTATCTAACCTAGGCACATCCTAGCGCACGGTTTGAGAACCCTGGATTTGTGGTACAGCTTGTAATCAAAGACAGAGAAATGTATGCATGCACCAACGTGTCAAAGAGGTTAATACTTTGTTTCTGCCTTTTTTCTCATTCCCGTATTCAGATGGAGAAATTGTTTGATCAAAGTATCCATGGTTACAGATTCTATAGCTGCAAGGTTCACGCTATCAGGTAAATGGTAAATCGCTGAAATATTTGTTGTGGTTCTCAAAATAGTGACAGACGGCTCTGGTTAGAAAGTTTGAAACTGACAGTTTTGAAATAGAATCCAAAACATGATATTTTGGAATTATTTTTGGGGGGTGGAGTGGGGGGGGGGGGTGGGGGGTTAATCGTAATAAAAGTTAATTGGATTGACCTAATACCCAGTGAGAGCTTTTTGGTCGAAAAAAATCAGAAACACACATTGAAAAGTGAATTCATCAGACACGGACGCACACACACGAACACACACACGAAAACACGAACACACACACACACACACACACACACACACACACACACACACACACACACACAACCTCCCCTCTGTTCTCTAAACCGCGTTTTTTGGCCCGGAATATGGAGAAATCACAGCCCAGCTGTAAAACACAGCACAACATGCCAGTTGCTCATTTAGCCAAGAGTAAAATATGAAGAAGAAGAATGGTTTGAACATTTCATCAGAGTACATCCCAAACAGCACATAGCACCGAGGCACCATGATGCAGTGCCAGAAGACAGCCAAGGGAAAGAGTAGTATAAGGAATCAAAGAGTCATTAGGCTAATTAGGTTTGACATTACCTGCAGCTACACCTTGTGCAATATTAGGACAATTATATATCCGCATCGCCTCTGCGACACGAACAGGCGAAAACAGAAAGCACAAGAATAAGAGGCGTACAGGCAGGTGTCACAGATTTAGAACCACTGATTCATATTTCCATTCACTCTCATTACCTAAGCAATTGGAGTTGGCGTTTGCATGCTTTCATAATTCATTAATTCAACATTCTAAAAGCTTTCATATGCCTTTTGTAGTTGTCAAAGAGTTTTTATATAGTGCCGTGATCGACGTTGTTAGCTTTTTGTTTTATTTGTTAAAAAGAGCGCTTCATTGCCGATACCAAATCCCGGTGATTGGTAATTCGCACATGTGTTTTATGTTTCTATATAACATTTGTATTTGTATCATTCTTAATTATGTTTGAATTCCGATGCAGGTTTTTTATGCGTAATGTATAGTTTTTTTTTATTTTATTGTTGAAATGTTTTCTACTAGTTGTAGTTATTTTTTTTATAATTTTAGTGAGCATGTTTCACAAGCTGCTAAGTACATAGGTTATCTTTCCACAGTTTTCACCATTTTTTTAGTGTTACGGGCGTCCCGTTGTGAAAGATATTGGGGTCTTAATCGGCAATATACCCGAAGACGTCATCTGGGTGGACATATCCCCTCCCGTCAATGTCTATAATAAGGAAGACATAGACTTTCTCCTCTCTCCCTCTCCGCCTTCACCGCCTCTATACTCTGGCGCAAAGTTCTGGGTGTTTGCCAACCCCGAACTTTAGTCTTGTTCCAGAACCTGAGTGTAGCGTGCACATCCGTTTAACACATCTGATTTATTTGTATGCAGACTCTTGGTAAGTGCCTCTTATTAGGATGTACGCCAAATTTTGAAGGATGCCCACAATTAGTCGACTCACTCAAATCAGAAGTCTGGGCGACGAAACTACATCCTTCCAGTCTACAAATGGAGCAAAAATGCAACGGGCCCACCGTCTGGAAAAATATTTGCCACGGCTTTAAAAAAAAAATAAAAAAAAAAAATAAAATAAAAAGGTGGCCGTACCCTAGCGTCCATTTTTGACCGGAAGAATTATATGAGGGTTAATAAACGGTCACACCAGCAGTACCCTCATTATTAGCTGGGGAAGGGGACTTAGGACATTACATCCACCAGCAGGCGTCGCCCCTACAACGACCTGCCTGCCCTCGTTTAACGACTGTTCACCCAACAGCCATGCAGTTCTTTGGCACGAAGAAGACACCTTGAAACCTTGGGTTTTGTACTGCCGACTCCCTACTAAGATGTTATTTTTATGTTCTGTTATCACAAATTAATGTCACTGCACATTGGGCATACCCATGCGTGCTCAGTTCTCCGAAACCAGCAGCCACTCTAAAGTACTTCTACTAATTGTCCCCATGAGAAGCTGGTTATATTGTCTCCTTTCTCGGCCTCGAAGACGGCAAAAAGACGTGCATCACAATGCTTAACTCCCATGTCCACGCAATCGTGTTAGTGTCAGGGATTTCCTCATTCTCCACTAGCCCGGTTTCGTACAGCGCTTGACTATGTCTGCTCTGTCCATACTTTTTTCCTGCAATCATTAGTGCAGTGCTTGCCAGTTGGTCTGCTCGCTCATTTCCCTTCACGCCCGCATGGACCCGTGTGTGTAGATCCAGGTTAAGGAGGTTAAGTGCGATTTCTGATGCTTCTATCCATTCAGAGCGCATACTGCCTGTTGCTATCTTCTGAAGCATATTCATGAGTCTGAGACAATTACTACCTGTGTGGCGGTTTGCTCGGATTACCCATGCTAAAGCTCTAGAAGCAGCGGCTATTTCCATTGTTCATGCTTGACGTGGTTGTCTGGTAAGCGCCGCTGTCCTCATGTATTGTTTTCCCCTTTCTTTGCGCTGTGTATGCCCATGCTGACCTTGATCCGCGCTTCACAGATCCATCTGTGTAGATGATGGTATCTTCTGGGTCTGAATGCTGATCTAATCAGTTCCCTTACTTCTGTGTCTACCGCCGCGGGAATTTTGATTCCTGCAGTACCTTCCGCGTGTGATGACAACCTTAGAAATGCCATGCATGTCTACTGGTGTATTCGTCCATTCTTTTCCGTGGTTGATCACGTCTAGGTCACATACCTGCTGGATTAAGTCCTCAGCCTTTGCCATCCAAGAGCGGCCCCTTTTGAGACGCATTCCTTTTGTGTCGTGAATAGCTTTGTGTAATGGGTGGTTAACAATCTGCCGATACCACTCAGTGTAAGCCCCTGACCTGTGCCCACTTTGTATCTGCTTGTCATAGTCGGCAGACCCAGGATATTTCTTTTTTTTTCATCGAACACCGGCTGTGAATTCCAGTGGAAGGTCCCGGTTAATCGTCCGCTTTTGGACTTTTGGCTTTCACCTGGACCTGATTTTTTGCGTGTACAACCGTTTTCATTTCCCTGCCTCATGGGCAGCTGTACGCACGACTTCGAAGGAAGACGTCAGGGCCTATTTCTAGGGTGACTGTGGCCATTGTTTTGTGTGGGTCGAGGACGTTGCCTGATTTGTGTGGTGTCCACTTTTGTCTCCTTCGCCGCAGGTTTTTGCCCCCGGAGTACCCTTTGGGGCAGCCCCCTGTGGAACAGTTGGCCCTCAGGGAAGGCAGGGGCAGATCAGGGCATTCCCGCTATCCAAGGAGGCTTCCATGCATGCAGAGCCGGCAACATGGCGGCTTGGTTCTGGGGCTCACCCAAGGAATCGGTCACGTCCCTGCACATGCCTGCTTAACCTCACAACCGTATCAGGCCTCCCGCTCGACAGGGGCTGCGCCCTCTGGAAGTTCAGCGGGGAGCAGAGCCCGTGGGGTTTTGGACTTTTTTTGACCCTGACCACACTTCGCACGTTAGATTTCTTTGACGAGCCGTTAGGCCCGACACAGAATTTTAATCCTGCATCAGGCAATATCGTTATCAGTTTTGTCCCAACACCACTCGGGCGAGTGGAGTGGGGTCTTTGGGTGTGGACATTCGGTCTTTTTCAGTTCAATACAACTTTTTGATGGTCAGGATTTTGATCCGTACGATCTAGTTTTGTCGGACATTCGGCTAAGCCATATGATGGATGGTTGCTGTATTGTGGGAGTACCTCAGACGCCGGTGACGACGACACTGAGGGTTAACCGAGGATGTACAATGAATGGCCAGTGCTATGGATGGATTGCTGTGTGGGAGTACCTCAGCGCGGTGACGACGACACTGAGGGTTAACCGAGGATGTACATGAATGGCCAGCCCTATGGATGGTTGCTGTTTGTGGAGTACCCTCAGCGCGGGTTGACGACGACACTGAGGGTTAACCGAGGATGTACATGAATGGCCAAACCTATGGATGGTTGCTGTTGTGGTGTATCTCAGCGCGGTGACGACGACACTGAGGGTTAACATAGGATGTGCAGTGAACAATGTTCTCTTTACTCCGCAATCTTTTTAACCAAGGGTTGTGAATTTTGGGCTGTACTTTTGGCAAACCATGCTTATGTTCCTAATGAGTTTTGATAACATTTTTTCACCCAAGCGTTTGGGGGCGGGCTGATGAGAGCCACAAGGACACATCACCTCCTGGGGGCCGCCCGAACTCGAGATCCCCTGACAGCTCTGTTAATGCTCATTTGAGACATTATCCGTGGCGCACGACGAGGACGTGCTGTAGGGGTCTTGCGTGAGGTTCCGTACAACCTGGATAGTGAAGGACTGGCGCCCCGAGTGACACACGGAGTATCTCCTTATTACACACCATCATGTTGGGCTTAACTTCCCCTCACGCCTGTGACATAAATCGCACTGCGCCCACACCCAGGATATATTAACGCATAGCGTTGCAGGAGGGTCTTTTGTTGCAGCCGAGTATGAGTCTCATGGCCTCATTCTGTACTCGGTCCAGTCTTTCCAGTCTTTCTAGCTGGGTTTTGCTGACAGTGAGGAGGAGGCCGAGACCATAGTCAATGACGCTAAGCACAAGCCCTTGATAGAAGAAGGAAAAAGTAGACGTTGTTAAATCATCAGCTGCTGCTAGCACCTTGAGTGCTGTCAAACCTTTCCTGCGCTATAAGTATGCCGTTGTCTACGTGGCATTTGTCATGACAAGCATCTGTCAAATGTCATGCCCAGGTATTTGCATGGTGTCCGTTCTCTCGATGTCCACACCACAGATGCTTACGACTGGCGTGGGGTGTACTCACGATGTGGGTATTCAGAGAGAACCATGTTAAGGAGGCTTTGGACGGGTCACATGAGCTCTTGATTCCTGGCACCACTCACTAAGGTCTGTCTAGTTCGTGTTGTAGTGTGGTTGTAATTTCCATGCCTGTTTTTACCTCGACGGTACACAAGGATATCATATGCATACG